TGAAAATGGACATCATAATTTTGATTTAATTAAGCTTATTCCCAAATTCAATTTAAGACACGATGATATTGTGATTTATTTATCCTTATTTGAAAGACAAGCTAAAAGGACAAAGATTGATCCTAAAGATTGGGTTTCATGTTTATTGACTTTAATGCCATCTGAAATCATTCAATTAATTGGTAGGGAATCTGAAGAAAATTTTGAAGATTATGAGTACATTAAGGCCATTTTATTGAAGAGATTTAAATTAAATCCTGAAAGCTTTAGAAAAAAATTTGTGATGCACCAAAAGAGCGCTGAAAAATCATGGAGAGATTTTTGCTACGAAATTACAAGTTATTTTGAAGAATGGATCAATGGTCTTGAAATCACAAATTTTGCCGCGTTAAAAGACTTGATTATTACTGACCAAATTAAGAAAAGAGTACCCTATGAAGTAAGAGACCATCTTCTTGACGACTGGGCGAAGTTCGTTTCTCCAACCAAATTAGCTGATAAACTTGACGAATATGACAGTGTTCGTAATATCTCAAAACGGACTGGTGGTAATCCATCATCAGCAGACAGAACTAATAAAAAATGGCAACCTCATTCTCCACTTCCAGAAAGAGCTTTCAGAAATAAATCGCTGTCCGCTGAAAACACGCCAAGAGTGTACCCATCCCGTAAGAGTGACGAACCACAAAAGCCTAGTTTCAAACTAACTTGCTATAATTGTGGAAAAGAAGGTCATACATCTAAGTTATGTACCAAAAATCGGATACCAAGAAGTGCTTCTGCAACAGCACAAAACAACTTAATACAAACACAAGCACCCCTTAGCAGAAAAAGAAAAACCAGAAGTGCTAACTGCCAAGATCTCTATTCCTGTCTCAAAATCAGTGGACGTGTCTAGAAACATAGATGAATTAAAACTTGTCAAAGTTAAATGTGGAGATATTATTCTAAATGGAATCGTAGACACGGGAGCACAAATTTCAGTAGTCCGTGAGAAATTGGTTGACAACATACCTTGCGAAGGAGAAAGTAAAATAGAGATATCTTCTGCTTTTGGTGAAAACGAAATTACTCCACTAAAGATTTTCCAGATGAAAATTGACGATGATTTTCACGGTAGAGTGTCCATTACGTGTGCTGTTTCAAAAAAGCTAGTTACCGATTTGCTATTGAGTTCTTCAGCTTATGAAACACTCTGTGGGAATATCGAACTGTTTAACTGTGATCGTTATTGGGATGCATCCCCCTTAGAGTACAAAGAGACAGATGATAAACCCTCACCAGTTGAAGAAATACTACAAATTTGGCTGTTGTTAATCAGCTTTCCCAAGAAAACATAGAGTCTGGGAAAACAACGAATAGAGTAAGACTAGAATTCAAGACACATCAAGAACAAGACGAAACTCTGAAAAAATGCTTTGAATGGGCAAATAAAAATCAAAATTCATATACTTTCGATGATGGCATATTACTTCATTCCGAATATATCTGTGGTGAAAACATTAAGCAAGTTGTTTTACCTTTAGAAAAAAGAAGGGAAGTCCTAAGAATGGCACATGAAATCCCTCTTGCCGGCCACCTCGGTGAGAAAAAGACAATTCAACGAATCAAGTACTCATTCTTTTGGCCTACTATTAAGCAAGATGTTAAAAAATTCTGTGAAAGTTGTAAAGAATGCCAATTGAGGAGAACAGTTACGTACAAAGATCGAATTCCCAATTCAACCTATTGTTAGGACCGGAAACACCCTTTGAAGTATGGAGCGTGGATTGTATCGGGCCATTAGAACCTCCATCCAGGAGAGGTCATCGGTTTGTGATATGTGCAGTTGACCTATGCACCAGATGGGCAGAAGCCACCCCCGTCAAAGACATAAGTGCGAAAACAACATGCAACGTTTTGATGAGGTTTTTTACTCAAACTGGATTTCCAAAAGTGATTTGTTCCGACCAGGGAACTAATTTCACAGCCAAACTCACCCGAGCCTTTGAGAACTTACTTGGTGTGTCTCCACGATTCTCCACTCCAGGACACCCCGAGAGTATGGGTGCTGTCGAGCGTTGGAATAGAACCTTAAAAGAGATGATGAACAAAAATATCCAAGAACATGGCAGAAACTGGGATTTGAATCTTCCCTATCTCCTGTTTGCCTACAGAGAAGTGCCACATAGCACCACTGGTTTGTCTCCCTTCCAGATGGTATATGGAAGAATACCACCAGGACCATTATCTTTGCTGAAAGAGATATGGACAGGTGAACGTAGCATTCCAGTTACAGCTTCCCGTTCAATTGAAAATTATCTACAGGATCTTTTAGAAAAATTAAGAAAAGCTCATGACATTGCATCAGCAAATTCCAAAATATCTCAAGAAGAGTACACTTCAAGATACAATTTACGTTCTCAAGAAAAGACTTTCAATGTTGGGGACAAAGTCCTCGTGTTAATGCCATCATCATCATCACATAAATTGCTCAACACGTGGCAAGGACCAGCTACCGTGATCAAACTTACCAGGCCACACTCTGCCAAAATCGAAATGGAAAACGGAAGTATTAGAGAACTCCATATAAATAAGTTAAGGCCATATATTGCTCGTGTAGATCACGTTGGTATCATTTTTGACCAAGATGAAGAGTTTGGAGATATCCACTATGCACCAGCAGATCTTATGAATAAATCTGCTGATGATATCTGGACCCATTTACAAAATTTGAAAGGCGACTTAAAATATTACCAACGGGAAGGACTATTTAAAGTACTAAAATCTTATGTAGATGTTTTCAGTAGCAAACCTGGTCAAGCCAATGTTGATGGTCATGACATCAAGGTTACAGAAGGATGTAATCCGAAAAGATTGAGGCCCTACCGTGTTCCTGTTTCACTTCAAGAGGAAGTCGATCGTCAAGTTAAAGAACTGTTAGAATGGGATCTTATAGAACCCAGTGACAGTAACTGGGCACATCCTATAGTATGTGTTGCAAAAAAGAATGGCGGCGTTAGACTGTGCATAGACTTCAGGCTTTTAAATAGCTTCACAATTCCGGACGCCTATCCGATGAAGATTGCTAAAGATTTACTATTCGAAATAGGGAAAGCCAAATTCATAACAGTTCTCGATTTAACCAAGGGATATTGGCAAATTCCTATGAAAGAAGAAGCTAAACCCTACACAGCATTTATCACTCATTCCGGACATTACCAATGGAAAGTTCTCCCTTTCGGTTTGAAAAATGCTGGAAGTACCTTCCAAAAATCGATGGATAAGGTGCTTGCAAACCATAAGAACTACTGCCGTTCATATATTGATGATGTGGCAATATTTTCTGAAACTTGGGATGGCCACCTCTATCACATCGACCAAGTGTGTTTCAGACACTGAGAAACGCAGGTCTAACCGCAAATCTAGAAAAGTGTGATTTCGGAAAGAGTCACGTGAAGTTTCTAGGACACGTAATAGGTTCTGGCACTCACTCTCCAGATCCTGAGAAGGTAGAAGTCATCAGAAATCTGTCTAATCCTACCACTAAAAAGAAGTCAGGAGTCTTTTAGGGCTAGCAAGCTACTATAGGGATTATATCCCAAATTTTTCTGAGATTGTTTTACCTCTAACAAACCTTACAAAGAAGAGTGTTCCAAATAATATTCCATGGGACTCTGAAAAAGAAGCAGCTTTCAACAAACTTAAAGAAGAGTTGATTAAAATGCCATCTCTGCATACTCCGGACATCAGCAAGCCCTTTCAACTCTATACGGATGCATCTGCTTTCGCAATTGGAGCGTGTTTAGCTCAAAACGACGAACATGGCAAAGAAATGCCCATAGCATTTTTCAGCAAGAAATTAACGCCCTGTCAACAACGATGGTCAACCATCGAACGAGAAGCATTTTGTGTCATCGAAGCCTTGAAAAAATTTGACACATGGATTTTCGGTGCCAAAGTGCAGATTGTGTCTGATCACAATCTCCTCACCTACTTGACCCAAAGCGCCCCTCATGGTGCTAAACTGTCTCGTTGGGCCTTAGCGTTACAACGGTATAACATGACTGTGACATACCACAAAGGAAGTTCACATGGGAATGCTGATGCTTTGTCAAGGTTAGCTGTTAACTCTTTCTCTCTCAATGAACTCTGAGCAACATTGTCTCTACGGTGACGAATGTGCTTCTTGTGGGGGAACTTGTAAAGATCGTGACTTGTAAAGATCATGACTTGTGAAGATCGTGACTTAAAGAGAACGTGAAATATAAATAATAGGACAAGAACTTGCATTTTACGGTGTGGCAACAAGAAGAGGATTCGTAAGATTTTTATATATATTTTTGTTTTAGAGAGTTGAGGATTTTGAATATTTTTAATAGTTGTAAGAGTTTTAACTGCAGTAGTTAAGAGTTTAAAATTTTGATAGTTAAGAGCTGCAGTATTTATTTTTTTGGTTCTGTTTTAAAATTTAAATAAAAGTATTTTGTTTATTCTGAAAAATTAGCTTTATTCTTCTTACAAGATTCAATATTCATTATATTTAATATAAGGAAGGGATCTTTACTTATACCAAACTCAATTAAACATTGAGGAGCTAAAATTTTAAGAGCTAATTTTTTAAAAACTACTCGTGTGGTTTTTACAAAACTTGGTAGTTTGACGTAATTTGAATCGTAGAATTGAAATATGGAAAAAAATTGGTATGTTATTTCAGAAAACGTCCAATTTTGTGTCAAAATACCTATATTAGAACAATGCTATATATAAATCTAATACATATCCTAAGTCGCCCTTTCAAGTCATTGAATTTCGTCAATTGGCCCAGTAGAACAAGAGATATAGAACTGCCCTTTTTCTTTTCTTCCCCCAGTGTACATCTATCCAAAATAGAATAGCAGTGCAAACAAAAACAGCATGTGAAGTGAAAACACAATAGAAACCTGAATGCTGATATAATTAGCATAACTGCTATGACACCATAAGTGAATTACATTATGCTTATAAAATCTAATTCTTACTTGGTGAAAAAGTATATAAACCATCAGAACTTTCTCCTCCATAAACAGAGCGTTTATAAAGAGATAGAGATTCATTCCCATCTATAATTTCTGAAAGCAAAGAGTAATCTTCTACAGCATACACATTTTCATCTTCCTTGATACTTGACCTTTCCCGATTTTTTAGGAAAGTATTGCTGTTGAATATATACAAAGGATCTTCATATTCGTACTGCCGCAGTTTTCTTTCTTTCAGATATGATTGCTCCAATGAGTAATTTAATTTTTCCTTTCTAGACAATACCTCAGCTCTCAAGATTCCACTCCGGGACCATTTCTGCTGGACATCGTCAAAACAATTTGTTGAAGAGCGAACAAAAACTACATGAATGTATGTCAAGGTGAACAAGGACATGAATGCCTGGAAAATAAAAAATACAATCAGTTACATTAATGTATACAAAAATAATAAAATGCTTGACAAAGCCAATAACTTATAAGCACTTTAATAACAAAGCTGTCAAATTTGAAATATAAAAAACCAGGGCATTCTTGCACAATAAACAGAAGTTCCTGAGAAGTTTTTGCCATTTTAAGTTTCCAGTTGTCTAATATTGAAACCACCTACTTGCAATTCTACAGAATGTTAGCCAATGGCTTTCTTGTGCAAACTGTATGCATAAATAGGTAGCGTACTGAACCACCTTACAGGTAGCATAGGATGTATGCATAAATCGGTACCATAGGATGCACAAAGCTAAAATTTGAGGATGAAATTTACCATTTCATCAATATTGGCATTTTCATGGTGTGATAACACTCATAGTGCGATGTAACCTTGCCTTTTGAATATTTTGTACAGTTATAATATCGCTCCTGCAAGGCTGGCAACTTATTTCTTAACCATGGTGGCTTCATATACACTGCTGTCCACTGTAAATGCAACACCCTGAAGGAAGCATGCAAATAACATGAAATTTACAACATGCATTAGCGGAGGTGAGATGCAAATGATTAGAATTTCAGCACAGACGCACATCATGTGCGTCTATGGCACCACTTCAAAGTGCTATTTAAGGCTTGGAGTTTTTAACGACTTTCGGCAAGTTCGGCAATTGTGTTTTTCTTGCGGTTAAAAAAAAAAAAAAAAAAAAAAATCAATTATGTCTCGTACTAAGCAGCAATCATCGTTTGATCAAGTATCCGAGTTCGACAGAGGAAGGATAGTGTCCTACCGAGAGTGTGGATTATCTTTCAGGAAAATCAGTAGTCGTGTTGAACGAAACCAAACAACTGTAGTGCGGATATGTGACTGTTGGATGCAGGAGGGTACAACGGAGCAACGTGTTCGATCACATTCACCTCAGTGCATTACTTCACGTGATGACAGGTACATTGTGCGCATGGCAGTGACGGATCGCTCAGTCACATCACGAAACATAGCACAGCACATTCAGTCTGTAATGCATCATCTAGTGTCTGCACGTACCATTCGATGCCGTTTACAGCAGAATGGTATGTCCGCAAAACGTCCATTGCTTCGTCTACCCTTGACGCAGACATCTCCGCCGCCAATGGTGCAAGGAAAGAAGGATGTGGACGGCAGAATGGAATGAAATTATCTTTACTGATGAGTCCCGCTTCTGTCTGCAACATCACGATGGTCGGATTCGAGTCTGGAGACACCTTGGAGAGACTGCATTATGTACTGCCACACTGGTCCTGCACTGGGTATTATGGTATGGGGCGGTATTGGATATCACTCTCGCACTCCTCTAATACACATTGCCGGTACTTTAAACAGCCAGCGCTACATCTCCGAGGTGCTGGAGCCAGTTGTCCTTTCTTACCTTCAGGGCTTGCCCACAGCCATATTTCAACAGGATAATACGCGACCACACGTGGCACGCATTGTCGAAGGGTTCTTCGTCAATTGCCAGATTGAATTCCTTTCCTGGCCAGCTCGCTCTCCTGATCTTTCGCCGATAGAAAACATGTGGTCCATGGTTGCTGAACAATTGACCCAAGCTGCTACACCAGATCAACTTTGGCAACGTGTGGAAGCTGCTTGGTCTGCTGTACCCCAAGTCTCCACCCAAAAGTCTCTTTGAATCAATGCCGAGGCGTGTGGCAGCAGTGATCTCCAACAATGGCGGCTACTCTGACTACTGATTCTGGCAGGAACCACACTTTCCAGAAATCTATAAATTTAATCATTTGATACTTGGTCAACATGTTATCTACTAAATAAATTTTGTTGTGATATCTCTTGTCTTTCTTGGTGTTGCAATTTGGGTGGCCAGCAGTGTAGTATACTGGCATTTTGTTTAGATGACAACTACAAATTCCTACATCTTGTTCTTATCAGGAGTGAAGATCAATCTTTATGACCGAAAGATTTATAATTTCTATAGTGAGAAGATTGTTAGCACTGCATAAATGTGGACAAAAATGTGAAGATATCAACACATGTGCTAGAAAATACATATGTTTCGTTCCATCCAAGATTTGTCAATAAGCAGCAGCACATATGCTGATATATGGGATAGCTTTGTGATGTGGTTTATGCAGTGCAAGAGCTGAAACTCATCATACAAAATGGCAGTGTACAGTTTGCAATGTTGAATTCTGCCTGGATGAGAACTGTTTTTGACAGTACCATCAAAAAAAAAAAAAAAAAAAAAAAAAAAAAAAAAAAAAAAAAAAAATTCCAGTAAAATTATAGTATAACCACCACATTACCTAAAATAATTTAAAATATTGTTTATATTAATTATTAGCAATATGTTAACTAAGTGACAAGCAAATAAAACTTTTTACGGACTATTTTTGGGGATTAAAAAACAACAAAATAAAACATATTGATATAAATTAGCTTTATAATGTGCACCAACTCAGGATCTCTGGAAGAACATTTTAGGCAGTGTCTCGAAGCTTGGACCTCTAGAAAACCAAAGGCAAATATGCAAGAAGAGCAGCTAAGATTTCCACCTCCAGTAGAAGATTAGAAAGTGTTATAAAATTATATGGAGTCATGGAATCAAATTTTTGTGAATTACACTGCAATAAGCTGAAATGAAGAGGTAATTAAAATTTGATTTTTACCATATCTGCATAGAAACCAACAATCACCTGAATAGAAGAGAATTAGGTATGCCTTAATAACCTAAAATTAGCTGAAAGAAAAATGTTGACTTGTGCATGTACAGTATCAAAAAGGAATATGTAATATCTATGCCTGTGAAACACACATTTATTCAGAACATTAATGTAGTAGTAGAAATTTAGATACATATTTGATCACAAGAAACCTAGATAACACAACATAAAATATGTAACACCACACACAGTTAGTTCATCGGAGAAGAACAAAACATCAAAGGAAGTGAAATCCTAAAACGTTGCCAAAGTCACTAATTAAATTTTCATAGTAAGCTTGTAGAATACTATAGGACTTGGCAGGAATGAAAAATATCCAGCTATTTTTTAACAAAATGCACTGCTTGGTCAATCTCATGACTATGGCATAAAAAATTTGCCACTGGATTCAATTCTGAATTTATGAATATTTCTTCATCCTAGCAGTGTATCCAATAAGGAAAAAAATATCTTGATGAATGAATATTAGACACATTCCCAGGTATGAAGATAATAATCATATGAAGAAGCACCAATACTTGCTAATGGAAACTGTGGCACTGAATCAACATGGAAAAGGTTACTGGATATATCTAGCAGTCTTCATTCATATTGTGCAAGTGTAACACTAAAGAGGGAAGAAAGAGAGAGAACTTCAAAATCGGTCTATTTGCAGTTATTCTAGCCAATGTCCCTAGCCACAGTCGAAAAAGGAAGTCAAATGAATAAAAGACTTTTAAATGACAAAAATATTCATGTTTTGACACTGTCAAATTAAAAAAAAGAAAAAATTATTTTGGACAAATAATGAAGTTTAACTTTTAATGTGGTCTCCAAGCTCCTATGCTTATATCTGAGAAAGTTTCATACTCGTTACGAAAAAATAAAATTATAAGAAGCTAATGTAACAAAAACTGACTGGGATACTTAATTTCAAAATTTGCAATATTTGATGTCATTTTCAACTTGCCTTCCGCTATCGCTTCATTAAGTTAGAATAATTTGAGGAAATAGGTTTGAATGAAGGGCAGAAAAAAAAAAGCATATAATTTAAGGAGTCGCTGCACAAGGAAGTCGTGTGGTGTTCACATCATATTTTTACTACCTGTATGAAGTAAAGGAAGTATTGTAACTGCAAAAATTTTCGGATAGCATATTTCAACAAACTATTCATTTTGACACTATTGAATGCAATTTAAAGATGTTTTTGCATGACATCTGTACGTAAGAACAGAAAAAAGGACTCTATTCCCCCCCCGCACGGATTTTGATTTAAAATGGATTCAGAAGAAATTTTTTTCGTGACGTCTTGTATAACTCAAAAGCAAGTAGCCTCAGAACATTGAAATTCTGTATGTATGACTGCTATAACCTGTAGTTGTGCACCTCCCTTTTTGGTGTCAATCAGCCACATCAAATGTATATAAATATGTATATACTCAGAATTTTTTATTCTTATATGTTGGTAAATTGTGCATTTTTTTGCTTTAAAATTGATTGAATTATGTTGTTCTCATCTTTTGATTCATGTTTTATGCCTTTAGTTACTTTGCATGCAGTAGTTGTAGAATTATTAATAATTGAAATGCGGCTAAGCCTAATTTTCCCCCCTACAGCAGACATATTTATTTACATTTGAAACTTGGCAGAATTTTAAATTACGAAATCTTTTGCACCTTCGGTGTCCTTTTTGCCAAGTGGACCGAAAGTTTACTTTTGGTTCTGTGCACCAAAAAATCTGCCTTCTGCATAGAAAATCTAATTTTACTTGTAAAAATTGTTTTAACTGTATTTTATGTTTTATATTTTTCAATTTTTAATAAAGATATTTTGAGGTTTTATGTATTTTTATCTTGTCGATAAGTGAGAACTGGATTAATTGAATGAGAAATATATCGCTAATGAAATTTGAGGAAATAACTTTAAATGAAACACAGGAAAAAATATGCATAATTTAATGTTCCATACGAGGAAGTCGTGGTGTACACATCAGATTTTTTTATTTTAAATTGGCACAACTTGTGCTAAAGATGAAATCACCACCTATGGCTATTTAAATTAAAGCAACAACAGACAAATTCAAACAGTGATAATGTGAACTACACATTAAATAGAACAAACCAGTTCAGAATATTTTACCAGTGCATATTTAAAACATTGGCTGGCGAGAATGCTAAAGCCAGAATATCACTTTTAAGCAGAGCTGGAAAAAAAATACTATCAGCAAGATGCGATTCCCAGAAACTTTCTGAACTGAAGATTCAAAACTCTCAGCTTAAATGCACACAAAGTTA